CACGGACACCAACAGAGACCATGGCTGTATCAGAGCCTGAACTCAGAAATGGGCCCCAACAGAAACCCAGGCCCAGACATCACCATGGCCCTGGGTGGCAATGAAACCACCCACGGCAGCCCACTCCTCATCTCTTTTGCCTCTTCAGATATGCCTCTGTCCACAGGACATAAACTATTTTGTCTCTCTCCCATTTCACTTCATACATTTGCTCACCATAGTAGCGCCTGTCTGCCTGGTGCCGCAAGGGGCTGGTGTCTCCTTGTCCCACTTAGAGTATTATGGCTCTGGGCAGGATCATGCTTTCTCGTCACAAAGAGATCAGAGTAGTGCCCAACATCTGGGCTGGAGACCTCTCTAGAACCTGGGTTAGAAAGCCCAGGCTATGACATTGAGTTTGGCTGGCCGTAGCTGCATGGCATGGGGTGGAGGGGTTTCTCATATATCCTTGTCCTGAAGGAGGTATAAACAGAATATCTGTAACTTATAAAACATTCCATTCCAAAGGACTGAATGAGAGTGATTGCATGTGTGTGTACACAGGTTCACACTACTAGCCTTAAAAAGTAAAATCAAGGTTCTCCTTCACTTTACAGCTAATATCCACTTATGAGTGAGTACATATCATGTTTGTCTTTCTGGGTCTGGGTTACCTCACTCAGGATGATTTTTTTTCTACTTCCATTCATTTGCCTTCAAATTTCTTGATGTCATTATTTTTAACAGTTGAGTAATATCCCATTGTGTAACACATTTTCTTTAGCCATTTTTTGAGCGGGGGGGGGGGGGAGGGAGAGGTACATCTAGGCTGTTTCCAGGTTCTAGCTATTACAAATAAAACTGCTGTAAACATAGCTGAGCAAGTGTTCCTGTATGACTGAGCATTTTTTGGATATTCCCAAATAGTCTAGTTAACAAGAAGAGCCTGGTGAGGGGCGGGTGCGAGGATCTCCCTGGGAATGGGAAATTGAAGCAAAGTACTGGTGGACTGGAGGTGGGAAGGGATGGGAACTTGGGGAATTGAATTTGGGGGTAGATTGAGGGGGAGATGACAGAAGATGAATGGAAAGAGGGACTCAAGGGAAATAAATACCCCTGAATCTACAAGGATGACCCCAGCTAAGGCTCCAACAATAGTGGCTACTAGCCTGAACTGACCATCTCCTGTGATCAGATTGACCACTACCCCAATTGTCATCAGAGAGCCTTCATTCAGTAACTGATGGAACAGATATAGAGACCATCAGCCAAACATTAGGCTGAGCTCAGGGAATCTGACTGAAGTTGGGGAGGGGGAGAGATTGTAGGGGCCAGAGGGGTCAAGAACATCACAAGAAAAGCCCAGAAACTAATAATCTTGCTTATGGGAACTCAAAGAGTCTAAACCAAGAACCAGGGAACTGACCTAGACCTTATACACATATATGACAGTTGTGTAGCTTTGTTTGCTTGTGAGACTCCTAACAATGGGAGCAGGCACTGTCCCTAAATGCTTTGACTGGCTCTTGGGAACCTGTTCCTCATACCGGACCATCTTGGCCAGTCTAAATACAAGGGGAGGCACTTAATCTAACTGCAATTTACATGCTGTGCTTTGTTGATACCCATGGGGTACCTGCCCCTTTCTGAATAGAAACAGAGGAAGAAGGGGTTGGGAGGAAATGGGGAGGTCCTGAGATAAAGAGAATGAAAAGAGAGGAGGGAGGAAAAACTGCAGTTAGGATGTAAAATAGATTAATTAAACAAAAATCAATAAGTAAAATCAACAGAAAATTATCTAATTGTTCTTATATGTTGCTGACTTTCATGTCCATAACAATTTTTATTGTAAAACTCTGACTGCAAAAGGTGTAGGGGGTAGGTGCCTGTGGAGCCCCAGGACCTGTTGGTTTGAAATTCTAAGTCTTGCCGTCACCCTTCCCCCCAAGACATCAAGGGCAGCAGGGTCATTGCTGTTCCCATCTATGCGATGATTTGTGGACCAGGCTTTGGCTGTCCTCCTGTCTGGCACTGGCAGACCCTGCCCGCCTCTCCTTTTTTGGCTCGGGTAAAAGAGCGATTTCACTTCCTTGCCTTTCTTTCCTCCTGCTAGAAGCTCCCTTGGCCCCTGGCTCAGCAGAGTTTCTGCAACCTTTACTTTCTGAATCCCATTAGTGCAGTAAAGTGCTTAGGAAGCCCAGGAGAGGCTGAATGAGGAAATAACTTCAGTGTCCTAAGCATGTCTATTCAGAAGCAGGGAATCGGTAGCCTTAGGCCTTTCACTGTGATACTATAACAGAGCCGGACAGATTGGCAGATTCCCCTTTCTCCTTACTTACATGATGTCAGATATGCCAGTGGGGACCAGGAAAGAAAAATGTCTCCTCCGAGCTAATAAGATCCATAGCTACACTGAGCCCACAGCCGTCCACACAAGTTCTCGCTGGGTGAGCCACAGTCACGGGCACCAGGCACAGTCTTGTAGCATGCTTTTCCCCACCTGTCAGCTAAATCTAGGTTTTAAATGCAAAGTGTGCATTTCAAGGACATTATATGGATGGATTTGTGACCGTGCCTAGAGGACTTTGGGTCTATAAACTGGAGAATAAATTATAGGGAAATATAAATATGGCATTTTCATCATCGACGGTTATAATAGCCTCACGGAATAGAAGGAAACCAGTGGTTTCCTGGAGATGCGCGTGTGTAGTAGCACTATGAAAAAGTGCACCGAGCAGGATATGGAGTTCGGCAAAGTGATGTAAATGGTGCCGTCTAGAGAACCTCGCCATCCAGGAGAAAAGGGAGATGTGTGTGCTTCTGTCCACCCAAGAAAAATCTGTTTGTAATCAACAGTAGGTAGGCAGCTGAACCAGAGTGCTGGTGGGGCACCCTCATGGACTACTGGAAAGCAGGCGTGTGGGAAGGAAAAACCAGAGGACGGGTGGTTGTTTAGTTCACCTAGGATGTGAGATGATCTGAGCACCCATCATCCCTGGTGCTCATCTTCTTGTACCTCCAAGGATATTTTTTCTTAGCTAGGAGCCTCCCTGGGCCAGGTATACATCACCAGCCGACCTTGCTACCCACCCTCCCCCCACTCCTCAGTCACACCCACACCAGCCGCTCATGCTACAGTGATACCAGATAACCCTACACTTCTGCAGACTTCTGATGAATAGCATTTCCTATATAGTTAGTTCCAGATCTGTGTCTTGGATTATGGGTTTAAGAGAGGGCGCCCATTAGATTTCAGGACCTAGCACTATGTTGGACACAGTGTGGTTCCATAGACCCACAGTCTGGTAGCTACAGTCTGGGGATCCCAACAGGGAAATAATTTGCATTTCAAGGTTGAAGCACCCAAGATCTGTGCTACTTTCTTTTTCTTTTAATACTGTGTTAAGCAAATTTGTTACAAAGTTACCAGCGCTTCAAATGCCCAGGAGGGTAAGAATTTGTCAGCAAACTCGCCTTTGCAGTTCTCCCTCCTTCTTCCTATTCTGTTTGCCTGTATTCCTTGTTTGTTGAGACAGGGTCTTGCCCTATCTCAGGATGGCTTAGAAGTCACAGAAATCCTCCTGTCTCAGCCTCCCATATGGTGGGGTTATGGAATGATTTCTCTCTTTTTATTTCTATTTTTTGCCAGAGTGTACTAAAGCAAATCTCAAACCTGTCATTTTATTTTTAGTTACTTTAATCTGCACCTAAAGAGTCTAAGACCATTTCTTTCATCAAACCATAGCCACTAATGTAACAAAAATTCCTATTCTCTCTCTCTCTCTCTCTCTCTCTCTCTCTCTCTCTCTCTCTCTCAAATTCATTACTTCTCAATATCATCAAATCCTGTCTTCAGAGAGTTCTGGGATTGTTATATTATGTCTTTCCCTAGCTTTTTAAATATCGTAACTAAACAAGGGTTAATATTATTTGCTTGCCTAAGTTATTATGTCTATCTTTTTTCTTTTAAAATAGCTTTTCAACAGTTATTTTCTGTGCATACGCAAGCAAGCATGTGACCATGCACCATGGCGCATGTGCGGAACCAACTTGCAAGGACAACTTGCAAGAGTTGGTTCTTACTATCCTGTGGGTTCCCAGGGAGCAAACTCAGGTTGGCAGGCTTGGTGGCAACTGCCCTTACTCACTGAGTCCTATCACCAGCCTCTCCTTTATCTCTTAACAAGAGTTTTCTTTCTTCCTCCTCCTCCTCTTCCTTTGCCCCCTACCTTTCCAGTTACAATATAGAATGTCCCACTATCTGTATTTGGGTGACTCTTGCTTTATCATGTCTTAGCTGAAATCAACTGAGTCACTCACTTGTAGCCATGAAGCCAGGTCTAAAGTCTTGACTTGATTCCAATCTGTTCAGTCCCTCATGTGGATGCTTGTTTTGGGCAAGAATATTTCTGCAGGGTTCCTCCAAGGAGCACCACGTTTTTTTTCAGCTGGACTCACACTGATAACAGTGCCGTTATTGACAATCTTTTCTCTCCCAGTACCAGAGGGTTGAACTCAGGCTTGTGCCCGCTAGAAAGCACCCCTTGTTTGTTTGTTTGGGGGTTGTTTGTTTCCTGAGACAGGATCTTGCTGTGTCGCTCACATTATCATTAATTCAGAATCTTCCTGACTCCCTCTGATGTGCTCGGATTAGAGGTGCACCCTCCACATTTTGACTTACAGCCAATACCTTGCTAACAAAGTGTGTAATTTTCTTAATATTGTCTAATCCCTTCATTCAGAGGTCTCTGATGGACTACAAATGTCTTTTATCAACTGATTTATTTGAATCTTAATCTAATCAAGAGCAAGCGCTTTATCATTATTCCTTGTGCTAGCTTACTAAAGCCCCGTAATGAATAAGAATGTGCACATAAACATTTGGTGCTTTTGCAAGTTTATTTTGGGGAGCGATAACTAGAAGTGGGACTGCTTCTCAAAAGGTAAATCATACATAATCTTGCTAGAGAGTGAATCAAATTACTAAATCCAATATTCATTTATATTGCTTCTCCCATCAGAAAGAAACCAACAAAACATACAACTGTGAAAATTTAGGTCTCAGTGAAATTCCTGGCACTCTCCCAAACTCAACAGAATGTCTGGAGTTCAGCTTTAATTTCTTGCCTACAATTCAAAATACGACCTTCAGCAGACTTGTAAATCTCACCTTTCTGGATTTAACCAGGTAGGTATTTCAGCTCCTTGCGCGCTCTTGACATTTTACTTAAACAAAACCATATTGTACAATCCAAGCACCTCTGATACCACCTATAGGGCCACAGATTTATTTATCCTTCTCCAAGGAACACATTTCTGGTACTGAGATATATTGTAAAATAAGGCCAGTCAACTACGAGGAAAGTATTTCAATGGTGCTGTTAAGAAAGGCCTAAGGCAGTGGTTCTCAACCTGTGGATCGTAACCCCTTTTGGGGAGGGGGGCTGAATGACCTTTTTACAGGGCTTACATATTAGATATCCTATATATCAGATATTTACATTACAATTCATAACAGTAGCAAAATTGCAGTTAGGAAGTAGCAGTGGTTGGGGGGGGGGTCACTAAGCATGAGGAACTGTATGAAAGGGTTGCAGCTTTAGGAAGGTTGAGAACCACTTTTCTAAGGGTATTGATGGCAAAAGAGAAAAAAAAATCTTGACCAGATCAGATGCTGTATTAAGCAGCATGTGAACCCAGTTGGCTGTTACGGGGCAATGATATTTTAGATGAAACTCCCAGATATCTCTATTAACATTGTTTGGTTGCTGTGGTTTTGTTTGCTTTCTGGTTTGTTTGTTTTCTTTTTTTTAAAAAAGAAAAAACATGGTCTCTCTATGTAGTCCTAGTCTTCCACCAGTTCACTCTGTAGACCAGGCTGACCTTGAACTCACAGATATTTTCCTGTCTTTGCCTCCTGAAGTACAGGATTAAAGGCAAGCACCCCTACATCTGGCTTCTATTAACTTTTGATTTATTTGTTATACACAAATTGGATTAAGAATTCCATCATCTATTCTAGAGGCGGAACCATGGTTCCAATTGCTAAAACATAACCTGAAAGTTGTATCTGATTGCTGAACCAATGTTTGAGAACAAAGGGGCAGAGGTATCAAAAGCAAGTGAGGGCGTACACAAGTTTGTGAGGAAAATGAGGGAAAGGAGGCTGATGCTTTTGTGACATCCGCATCCCTTGTAGCGGCTCCCCACACTGGCTCTTCCCCTCCTGCAGAGCGGGAGAACAAGGGACCATAGTCACCTTCTAAGTGCCACTGTGAGATACCGTGGCCAGTATCACTACCTACTGGTGGGTGAATGAGGGAACCATCAGCGTGCACATGTGCCAACAAAGGGATGTGCACTCCTGTGCATGCATGTGCTATCAATCCAGTATTTTTAGATTAATATCAAGATGGTGTTTTCTGAGTCTTTACTGTTCTTCAGTTCAATGGGGGCATTTTCCGTGTATCATTTAACACACAATAGTTCTTCATAAAAACCCTTTTGTATTTAACTGATGAAAAAAAAGAGGGCAAGACTATAGACCAGTGATAGACGGAGTGCTTAGCATGTGTGAGGACCTGGATTCAATCTTTGATAGCAATTCAGCCCCCCCATGAGAAATTAATAAAGGTTGTATCTTGTTTATGGTGTTACATACACATACATACATATATACACATATGTGTATGATGTATATAGTGTCTCCTATGTCTTCTGTGTGATATATTTTATACTAAATTAAACAATAAGTCACAGTTTGATTTTTACAATCACTGGGTTTTTGCCTTACAATTAAAAATAACCCCTGAGTGTTCACTCTAAAGGGGCAAAGACTACAGAATAAATTCTAAATCAGAGTATTCAGAACTAAGGCTACTTATTAACCCAACAAATTATTCCGCGTGCGTGAAGGAAAGTTCTACTTTACTTTTTAGTGATGCTATTTTGCTATTGCAGACAAGGGATTTCTTGATTCATTGTTGTGCTGGTGTTTGTTCTTTTGTCCTCGTAAGCATGATTGCTAAATGTTCTTATCTCTTCGAGGTGCCAGATTTACTGGATACATGAAGATACCTTCCAAAGCCAGCATCAGCTAGACACACTTGTGCTAACTGCAAACCCGCTGATATTTATGGCAGAAACAGCACTCAATGGGCCCGTATCACTGAAGCACCTGTTCTTCACCCAAACAGGAATGTCCAGTCTGGACTTTATCCCCGTGCACAATTTGAAAAGCTTGGAAAGTTTACATCTTGGAAGTAACCATATTTCCTCCATTAAGCTCCCCAAAAACTTCCCCACAGAGAAGCTGAAGGTTCTCGATTTTCAAAACAATGCCATCCATTACCTATCTAAAGAAGATATGGAATCTCTACAGCATGCCACTAACCTGAGCCTCAACTTAAAGGGAAATGACATTACAAGGATAGAACCTGGGGCTTTCAAGTCAACTGTCTTCCAAAGTTTGGACTTTGGAGGGACTCTCGACTTGCTGGTTATATTCAGGGGTTTGCATAACTCTACTGTTCAGTCTCTCTGGCTGGGGACATTTGAGGACATCGATGATAAAGAAATTAGTTCCTCGGTGTTCGAGGGCCTCTGTGAAATGTCGGTTGAGAGCATCAACCTGCAGAAGCATCACTTCCTCAACATCTCCTCGAATACATTCCACTGCTTCACCAGCCTCCAGGAACTGGACCTGACAGCTACTCACCTGAGACAATTACCCTCCGGGATTGTGGGGCTACACAACCTCAAGAAATTAGTTCTCAGCGCAAACAAGTTTGATAGCCTGTGTCAAATCAATGCTGCCAGCTTCCCCTCCCTTACACACCTTTACATCAAAGGCAACGAGAAGAAACTTGCCCTTGGTACTGGCTGTTTAGACAACCTAGAAAATCTTCGTCTGCTTGATCTAAGCCACGATGACATCGAAACTTCTGACTGCTGCAACCTGCAACTCAAAAACCTGTCTCACTTACAAAGCCTGAACTTGAGCTACAATGAACCCCTGGGCCTAAAGACCGAGGCGTTCCAAGAATGTCCCCAGCTAGAACTCCTGGATTTGGCGTTTACCCAATTACGTGTTAATGCCGCGCAAAGTCCCTTCCAGAACCTCCATCTCCTGAAGGTTCTCAATCTCTCCCACTGCCTCCTTGACACCAGCAATCAGCATGTCCTCGATGGCCTGCCAGCACTCCAGCACCTGAACTTACAGGGAAACCGATTTCCAAATGGGAATATTCCAAAGACTAACCCGCTTCAGATCCTGGAGAGTCTAGAAATCCTGATGCTATCATCCTGTGATCTCTCCTCCATAGACCCGCAGGCCTTTGCTCAGCTTAAGATGATGAATCATGTAGACCTGAGCCACAACAGGCTGACATCCAGTAGCATCGAGGCTCTTAGTCATCTTAAGGGGCTATACCTCAATCTAGCTTCAAACAGCCTTAGCATCATCCCCCCTGACCTCCTCCCCATCCTGTCGCAGCAGAAAACCATTAATTTAAGACAGAACCCCCTGGACTGCACTTGCTCGAATGTTTACTTTTTGGAATGGTACAAAGAAAACATGCACAGAGTCGAGGACATAGAGGCCACTCTTTGTGCAAATCCGCCATTGCTGCAGGGAGTCAGGCTATCTGATGTCACCCTGTCATGTAGTATCACAGCTGTGGGCATTTTCTTTCTCATTGTATTCTTCCTTTTGCTCACCGTTGCGTTGATTTTCGCAGTGAAATATTTTCTTAGGTGGAGATACCAGCACATTTAGCTCAAGGTTTCCAGAGAAGGCCGATAAACAGGTTTATCAGAATTGTCCTAAGTAAAAGAACTGTCATCCACAGGTGACCAGACTTTTCTGGTTCCTAGTGCTGGGCTGGGGTTCATTGAGTTTTTCTGAACATTTGAATCTCCCATGATGCTGTGGTTAGAGGCCCACGCACTGCTGTGAGAGACAGAGCCACTTCCTCCTGTGAAAAGTGACCCACAACCACTGAACCCCCGATCTGAACCCCACCCATCTGAGAAAGGAGAGCAACACGCATCAGTGCCCCCACCCTCTGCCCAACCCGGCTATGCTGGGGCCAACCCTGTCTTCTCTCTCTCTAACTTCTGACATTTTGCTTGAGGCTGAGCTCTCTGTAATTGAGCCATTTGGGAAAGTTAGGCCCCAGTAAATTCTCAATGCTCATTTCAAATGACAAAAGGTAAAAAAATACAATGAATTTAAAAGACAAGACAAAGTAATAAATTCTGCTCTCGACCAGATTCTATTAGTCCCCTTGTTTTCTAAGGTCTTGAGAAACCCCTAGGGTGTCAACAGTACAAAACTTTGAAAGCTTCTCCCGACCCATCCCTGAAGGTCGGATTTCATTCATTTCCCAACAAGGAGGTTTCCCTCCTGCTGTCTGCTATTCCACCTCTCAGGTTGCAAACTTAGAGGTGGGCTGTGTTCCAAATAGCTCTTTTTATTCTCCAGGTTTCTGGTCCTTGGACCTCTTTCCCACAGGAACAGGGAGATGAATGTCTGGTTCCCAGACTGGCCTTCCAAAGCCTGTTCCCTTTAGAGAATATTGAGGAACACCCTCACAAGGGAACCTTGTGTATTTGTGTGTCCCCGCAAACTAGCTGTTGGGAACATGACAAGGGAGAAGAGATTTCTGTTCAGTCCAGGGGTATTCCCAAAGGCTATGGCAATGACAGACAACATGGCGCTGTTGAAGGCAGATAGACAGAGAAGACAGGGCAGTTGACAATGTCACAACTTAATCCCTCCCAAGTCTCTGGGATGCAGTCTGAATTACTAGTTGAAACTCAGTTACTGTGATGTTTGCAATTACTGTTCTCTGAATCCAGGGAGTTAAACAACAACAGACTGATAATATTTTTTAAACATTGCACAAATACTAAGTATCTATCTTACTTCATTTCATCATTCCCTGAACAATATAACTATGTGCACAGCATATATACCGTGTTTATATTGTTAGGAGACAATACAAAGAATATGACAAGATCATGTAATTCATATGAAAATACTATTCTATTTTATTTTTGTATAAAGGAGTTGAACATTTGTGGAGTCTGGTATCTGTGAGGACTCCCTGACCCAATTTCCCCATGAAAACCAAGGGACTGCTACTTAAGACCTTGATTAAATTTCCTAACCAATTTGAGGTTAGAGATGTTAGCTAATTATGAAATGCTGGTCAAATGTCGAGTGATTGACCAATAGTGACATCTAATCAGAATGATAAGAGAATCCACGTCTTCCCTTCGCGCCCTGGAAAAGCTGCTTAGGCAGGCCGCAGCTGGGATGGAGCTCTTCCCTACTTAGGGACTTCAGCCTTTCTCACATGGTCGTTCCTTCCTCTGGGAGCCCCTCTGGAAGCAGTCAGTTCTCATATCCCTGAGACTTGCAGCAGGGTTTCCTCTTCAGAGAGTGACTTTTTCCTACATAGCCAATCCAAAGCCGACGGTGAATGACGACACAACTAGCGTGAACTCTTCAGCTCCTTTATCATCCTTATGGCTCCTCCATGTCCGGAATCACGGCTGGGACATGATACAGTTTCAGGGTGTGTGTGCACATGCTCACCCATGAATGTTCACGTGGACGCCAGATGTTGACGCCCGGTGACTGCTTCACCATCTTCCTGTTCTGAGACCTGACACCTCACTGATGATAGATCTGTCTCCCCATGTTGCTCTACCCCATCTCTGGGGTTTTAAAAGACACCGCTCTCCCAGTCTTTCTCATGGGTCCTAGGGGGCTGGACTCAGCCTGCAGGCTTGGGCAGAGAGCACTCTGCTCACTGAGCCTTCTCCCACAGCCCTGATGGTTTATATTGTGAATAATTAATTGCTGAGATTTTGTAGGCCTGTGGTCCCTGAGGCTTTATCAGTGGTTACTACGTTGGACAAGCCTATCCCCGCTTACCCTTAGCTCTGGTCAACATCTCCAGAGTTTCCTGCACTGGCCCCTCCCACACATTTCTCTCCAGAAATACCCACAGCGATCTGGTAATAAAGGATGCCTATGCCAAGCCTCTGGTAATGAGGATATTGTGGCAGAGGTTAACCCTGGATTCCTAGTCAATGACGTGTCCCTGTAACATTCTTTCCTACACTTCATGTTGTCTCCTACTTCCCCCATCTCAAAGTACATATGGATTCCACATTCAGAATGCCGTCTTAGGAAACACCAACCCTGTCCGGATAGCCTCCAGAACCATTCCCTCCTGAGTGGCCCTTCCTTCCACCCAGAGTCAGGATGTCGCCTGGGCCCTAGCTGCTGCTGAGGGCTATGTCTGGGTTCATGGTCCAGCTACAGCTGGGGTCTGTGTGGATGTTTGTGGCCTGTGTCACATCAGGAGACCTCAGGAACCATGCAAAATGAAATCAGAGGGCCATGCTGAGCCGGCCCCACCCTTTGCTGGCCCTGGGAAAGCTGGCCTAGCTTCTCATTGGACCCTACAGCAAGAGAGCTGACCCCCGGCACATTACAGAGATGACACCCACCCCTCACCACTGACCAGGGGGAACCAAGCCTAAGGGGAACATGCATTAGGGGAGCTGACTGACCAGCTTGGCTACCACACAGGCCCACAGTCGGGCTCTGGGTTGACTCCATTTAAAACCTGCTGGAGTTGGCAAAGGAACTGGTCCTGGGGAATGATACCCACAGGATATCCAAGACTCGTGGCCATTACAGGATATCCCAGAGGAGTTCCGGTGAGGATCCAGAGATGGTGGTGTACCAGAAACCAGAGGCCTTGAACCAGACCGGTGACTCATTGCAATGAACATTTGCCAGTAAAACTGATGGGACAATTTGTATACTGTATGGCACACTGAAGCCCCCAGTGCCTTCAGGATGAATGGAGAGGTGTTGGAGAGGCAGGAGAGAAGGAGAAGCAAGGAGATTTTTCTATTGTTGTGATTTTTTTGCTTTGTTTGGGTTATTTTGTTTATTTCTGCTTTTGTGCTTGTTTGCCTACTTTGATTTGTTTCCTTTTGTGTGTGTGTGTGAGGGGGTGCGCAGCAGGGATGGGGGAGAATATCGGGGGACTTGGAGGTGAGCAGAATTGGGGTGCAAGATGTGAAACTCCCAAAGGGTCAACAAAGAAGCTAAATATTAAGTTAAAGATAGATAGATAGATAGATAGATAGATAGATAGATAGATAGATAGATAGATAGATAGATAGAAAACACCAACCCATTGGGGTTCCCTGTCTATTCTGTCAGATATCAGCTGATTCTTGCCTTAGGGATATACATAAACTGAAGATGGAAAATACTAATTGTGAAGCAAGCACTCTGTAATACTTAACATATAACTTGGAAAAACCAAAGCATTCCGTAGAAAACCTCTGCTTTGGATGCATTACACCAATGTTCCCAATGTCTTAAGCCTTGGCAAGGCCTAGCTGCCCATCTTGTTCTCATTTGTCAGACCCACCCCACTTGGTGCCCTGTGACTTGGCGTTCCAAAGCACCACACTGACCCAAGGCTCAGTGACAGCTCCGCTGTATTAAACACCAATAAATTCACCCCACAGAGTCAGGAAGGGAGCTTTTTGATGGCTGCTGTCAATTTTATTGCTTTATCTGGTTACTAGGAGAGGATCTGTAGACATCGTGCGTTTATTGGTTTTATGTATTGCATGTTGTTGTGCCTCTGACAAGCTACACCTATAAAAATGTGTTATTATTGCATGATGTAGCCCAGCGAACTGACCCTGCATTTCAAAGTGTACTGAAGCAAATAGCATCGAAGTCCATAAAAGCTGACTGGCCTCCATCACAAAGGACTCTGCGTGAGCCGCAGTTCCTATAATCCAGCAAAGAATTATACCCTTCCCTCTACCGGCAGCCATTGCTATTAACTGAGCACAGCACACTCCCAAACACAGGCATTATCTGAAAAATTCTAAGACAGGATGCCTTATATTGCTCTGATTTGTCCAACTCTCTGAGAGGACACAAGTGTAATTTTGAAGTTTACAAAAGAATGAAATAACTGGTTTGCCGGTGTAATATCAGTTCAGGGTGCAAGGAGAGTTTCCACCAGTGTTTTCTCTCTTTGAATGCAGAAGAGGCATTTAAGTACAACAATAGAAAGTGGTTATCTCTAAGCCGGGAGGCAGCTGCTGGGCGTGTTAAGAATGCAACTGTCTAGCACAGTGGGGGTTAGCCTGTGGTAAAGAGGAATAGCCTAGCCTATTGTAGCTCCCAAGCCTAGTTGAACCCCAGAATCAGATGGAGAATTCTTGGCAAAACTGAAGTCTTCAACCTACCTCTGGATCTCAGCCCCCACTTTCTGCCAAGTGATTTTTATATAAAAATCATTTCTAATCTCTGTTTTATCAGCCAACAACAGAAGCTCGTTAGGCTCCACGGTGCACAGAAGCTAGAGACTGTCTTCATATCCCAGGGAAGGAAGTTTTCTTCCAAAAGTTGGACAGAGGTAATTGGCAAAGCCCTCATTTCTGAGGGTCAACATCCTGCCAGGCAACTTGGCCGTGTCTCTTGCCATCACAGCTGGGCTGCCAGGCACTGACCCTGAAGCGCTGCTGTCTCTCTTCCCTACCCACTGTGCCGCTTGCTAACAACTTGAAAGTGAAAGAAATCATGAATTGAATATTATGGAAGTTGGAAAGAGCTGGTGGCTTATGGTGCTCAGGAAAGATTAAGCAGGGAAGATCATGGAGGCTCCTCTGCCCTTTCTACGTAATGTTCTCTGAGCGCCTGGCTGTGGCTCTAAACCTGGCAAAGGACAGCAAAGGGCAAAGAGGCCCTCAGGGCATTCAAGCATTTATTCCTTCCCTGTCCTTTCAGTTGGCACACAGGCCTTCTTCCTGTCCCTTCCTCCTCCCCGTTGTCCTCTAGACTGAACTGAAACTCATTATCCTCCTACCCATTTCCTGATTTGGGAAGTATGATGTACACTATCACAACCAGTTCGGTCCAAGAGCTCTATAAATAGCTTGGATCTCCTTTTTTTCTCTTATAAATAACCTAACCACAATCATAGATAAGCGATTAAGTAAATTAGGGGATGTTCTGAATAAGTGGGGAGACACTCGGTGTTCTTAGAAGGAAGAACTTAATGCTATAAGAATGTCAGTCTGCTGAAAACCAGAGAAATACATATCAAAATGAGACAAACATTAATATTAGTTAGCATAACACCAACAAAAACCTGAAAAAGTGGGGCTGGAGAGAGGGCTGGTGTGTTAAGAGTGCTTGCTGTTCTATCATGAGGACTGGAGTTTGGATCCTAGCACCCACATCAGGTGGCTCACAAGTACCAATAACTCCAGCTCCAAGGGATCCGATGTGTGCTCTAGTGTTTTCAAGCCTTTGAACACATATACTCACACAACACACACACACACACACACACACACACACACACACACACACACTAAGATAACGTTTGTTTGACAAAACAAAAGGAAAAGGCTGGAGAGGCAAGGAGGTTGGGTGTGGGGTTTGAGGCGCTACACGCGGGCTTGTGGGGTTATATATAGCTTGATTCAGTCCCTTCTAGAACAATAAGTAGTCAAATTCGTGACCTGAACATTCTCCTCCAGGGTTATATCCCAAGCAAGCGTCATAGGTCTGCACAGACTTCCCTGCCAGCATTATTTATGGAGGGGAGAGTCACCGCAATTTGAGAATTCATCACTAGGAAAGCATAAAAGTTTAACAGGGAAGGTGGACATGTCATAGAAGACACTGTACAGTAGTTAAAAGTGATGGGTTAGACACAACCATAGCAGAATTTTATTGTAAATACCTCTAGACAAATTAAGCTTAGACAAATTGAATTTGGCAGAGTATAGTTGAGCAGAGGAGGATTCATGAGTTGGATATACTTTATTTAACCTGTGGCGGCTCAGAGCACTCCCTCCAGCAATGTGAGATTTATAAGCTGTAAGGAACAGTGACATGCAGAAACAGCTCCATTGGCCACAGCAGTCTTTGCCTTATTTAGGCAAGGTATATTGAAGAATTCGCCTAGTAGGAACTAGTCTAACCAACAGCTGGAGCTAAGCTGCTCTGATTGACTTCAACTCCGTGAGTATGTTCTTAGGTCAGGATGTATTGTACCTTTGATCTTGGTTGCAATTGCTGTTTAGAGGCAGCTCTATGCAGGGAATGGAGAAAGCCCTGAGAGTGAAATCCCAAGTGAATGTATGCTGTGGACATGGACACAGGTATGTCCAGGACCTCAGAGCCTCAGACCCTTGGAGGAATGGCAAAGCCTACCCTCTGCATGCCCAAAATGACATTCTGAGTAAAATGGCAAGGCTTTCCTCTGGCCCATGTCTGGTGTTAATAGCTGTACAGAAAATGTCCACGGTAGCTTCCTCCCTCTGGGTGTTTATGGCCTGAAGACTGCTCCCCTACAGAGAGTGGCCCTAAGGAGATAAACAGATAAACTAAACCTGCTTCCTTGATGCAGCTGTGCACTATAAACCCCGCCTCCTTGTTTATCTCTGTGCAGTAATACCCCAGTACACACAAACTCAATTGTTTACAACAAATGCCTTGAACTTCCAGGTGGTGTGGCTTCTCCAACAGAGATCCCAGACCACTGGATCCCAGCTTTTCTGTGTATGTGTCTGTGTGTTTGCCTTTTCCTATTCCCTCGCTGGCCCCTGCCATGCCCACATCTCTGGGACCATGATAGATCGTGTGGCTCTAAGCCAACTTAAAGACATACGTTTTCTTCAGAGGCAAACCATATTGGTGTGCTAATACACACAAATTTAAAAGGTTTGTGTATAAAACGATATATATTTTGAAAATATAACCCAAAAGATAAACCACCAACATGGTTGATTATTTTTTGGGAAAGGGGCATAGAAGAGAATGTCAGCAGAAATTAGGCAAACTTTACTGTAAGACTGTACCCAGAAACAAAGAGTAAGATGACCTCCACCTCTGCACCAGTTATATATTCTCTCTCTCTCTCATAATATGGCAAACATAAAATGAAATATGTGCTCTCATAAATAACTGCAGAATATATTTGAATTTTGATATTCAAGCAAAAGAGGGTTCCCAATGGCACACCCACTATGGCTTTATTATTCAGAGAAAGGGATTATATTTTCTCATTGCCCAGACAAAATGCATGACAAGTGCCACTTAAGGGAGGGTTGTTTCAGCTCAAGGTTTGGGGGAGTAAAGTCCATTGTTACAAGGGAGGCACGGCAGCGGGAAAGAAGCCTAGTTACATTGTGTCCTGGTCAGCAAGCACAGACGTGAGTAGCAGGACCTGGGGGCTTCCTCCTCTTGTGCCTTTTAATGAGTCTGGGATTTGAGTCTTTGGGATAGTGTTGATGGGGCTTCCCCAGACAACTCCTCTAGAAACCCACATATAAGGAGGTAAAACGAAATGACTGGGTTTCCCAAAGACTTCTGTTTCTGCAAGGCTGAAGAATAAAGAGTCCTGGCTTGAGAGAAATGCACATCCCGGAAAAGGGGGGCTATTTTTAAAAATAGGATATCTTTATGAATTCTTTGAGGATGACACACAATGTAGTTCAGTCATTTTTTTCCCCTGCTTGTCCTCCTAACTTCTCACAGATCCACCCACCCCTCATCCCTCCAGCTTTGTGCCACTTTCTTTTGTTTTTAAATAAACCATAAATTACGGCTGGCGCTGACCATGTGCTCCCGGGTGTGGGGTGTAGGGCTCTTCACCGGAGCATGGCTGGCTTACTAGGAGTACAGCCCTTAAAGAAAGTTGACGCTCCCTCTCCCAGAAGTCCTCAACTCTCAACAGCTCCTCAGTTAGGGGTGGGACTAGCTGAAAGATACTATTTTTTATTAATATTTGTATCTTCAAATGCAATGATTGCACTCAAGCTTCGGGAATCACTCTGCTGTCTTCCTGCTAAAGACAGAGGGCGCCATCACTGCCTGGATGAGGAAGGGACTGCATCACAGTGGGTCATTCACGAGAACCACTTTGTTTTCTTTATTATTTCTACAGTGTTCCGCCTGCATGTACACCTGCAGGCCAGAAGAGGGCACTAGATCTCAATACAGATGGTTGTGAGCCACCATGTGGTTGCTGGGAATTGAACTCAGGACCTTTGGAAGAGCAGTCGGTGCTCTTAACCTCTGAGCCATCTCTCCAGCCCCAAGAACCACTTTGGATCCAACAAGAATAGGTGTATCTCCAGCCTGGGAGAATCACTTTCACATAGCACCACTTAACAGAGCAAACATATTCCAAAGTGACAAGACACTGGGGCAAAGATATTTATTTAGGAAGGTTAGTGCTTAAGGATATGGCCAGCCAGGCTGACACAGAAATTCTCGCTGCAGCAGGTTTGCAGCGGGTCCCGCAAACATCTTCATCCTTCACCTCCCTGCTGCTGACAGCCATCTCCAGGCAGAACTTGATGAAATGGAGGATGGGTAGTTCTAAGAGACGTTGGCTTCACCACGTTAATAGACTTTCTGTACAGCTGTGTACCGTGGCCAGTGGGTCTTTCTTCTTCCCACATCTGAAAATGCTGGCCCAACAAGGCATGGACTACACAGAGACCTGGGCTCTCGAGGCAGATTCTGCACCACACAACCCCTCCCCACCTTTTGCAGTGCTCATCTACAAAGGAGTATTGTGATATTAAAGAAAATGTTGAAAGATGCAAGGATTTGGGCTAAGAACCCACAATGGGTCTAACACCATAGCAATAGCGTGTTTAATCACAGTCAATGAACTTTGGCTGGCTTCACAAGGCCTTGCAGCTAGATAATGAGGCCACAACCAACCAACTAGTTAAGTTTAACCAGCTGGCTCAAGAGTTGATAAGCTGCAGCTTTAATCCCTCGCTCCTGTTTTCTTATTGATACTCTCTGTTGCTGGGGCTTCTCAGAGCCTGTTCAGGGAGCTGCCCAATGAGTCTATTTCACTCGGATTTGACTATGTATGATTGGCTGAAGTGCTTTTTAACAGTCTTGAAGGAGTGGGTGGATCCAATGCAGACTCTCCAGACCCTGGAAGCTAGCGCAGAGTCTCCACACTCAAGCCTGGTGGACATATTGTGGCCCCTGAGTCCTTGCTTTCTCTCTGGGAGTCAAAAGGTATGTTTTCTCTTGGCTTCTGAAGCTCCGTGGATTTGTGTTTTGTGCTATCTGAGTTTGAGAAAACTTTCAAATCAAAACTAGGGTTGAAAGTTTTAACCAGAAACAATACAAATTCCTCTTGAAGGAGTCTTCAAGGTCTGATAGATACTAA